TTTTCTAGACAACCCAGCCTAGTGCAGGTCCCCATCTCATTACTGTTGTACAAGGGTGAAAAGGTGTATCTGACATGCTGCTCTTGGAGAAAGGCGCATCACCATGAAAGTCTGAAAAGATAATCAACAATTCTCTGACACCGAGCCAATCCTATGTTCCTCTAGGTCCGTGGATTTTAGGTGGGTGTAAATCTATAATAAAAGTATCATGTTAACCTTGAAAAAACACAGGCACAACACACACATATTCTCTCTGCACCAAAGGTCAACACTCACATTTACAACACGTAAGGAAACCTAGTAGACTCATAGTCACACTTGATATAAGAAGTTAGTATAACACTAAGAGCATATATTCATGGGGGAAGCATGACATGCATGCTCCTGAGAGGAAATCACTCGCTTGTTTATATAACAAAGTATTCCCATGACTCAGCCCACATTCTGCAGTAGCACCAATGAGTATGATACACACACATACATATATTTTTCTTTTTAATGAAAATATTCATATTTTCTTAGGCCAGGTTTCTAAAAGTTTCCATCATCACATGTCTATAGAGTTTCCTCTGAACAGGATCCAGCAATACCCATTTATCCTAGGAGAAGTCCACAGCCACCTCTTCAACAGCCACAGTGTCCTAAAACATCCCATATATTCCGGTTCAGCAAGATACTATGCACTCCACTATGTGAAAGGATGAAGATCACAGTCCTGGGAAACAGACTTCACATGGGGATTAGACACAGGGGTCTTGTTCTACTAAGGATCACCATCAGGGGTTAGTTACCAGCCTCATCCCTTCACCCACTAGACCAGCGGTTCTCAACCTGTGAGTTGCAACCCCTTGGGAGGTCGAATGACTCTTTCACAGGGGTGGCCTGATTCATAACACTAGCAAAATTACAGTAGTGAAGTAGCAACGAAAACAATGTTATGGTTGGAGGGTGACCACACGTGAGGAACTGTATTAAAGGGTCACGGCATTAGGGAGGTTGAGAACCACTGCACTAGACATACTTCCTCACTAATTACGTGCTATCCCAACGACTGCATTCTTCTAGCATAATGAGTTTATCTCTGTACAGTTTGTCTGTGACCAACTGCAACCTTAGTCCTCTCTATATGGTTCAGAATAGAGAACA